AATTCTCAATGGCAATACGACGGAATTTTAGGTCGTGACTTTTGGATAAGGGAGCTAACATAAACTACTGTGACAGAAGGATTACTATGGACAATGTAGCAGTCGAGTTTGATCCTAATAAGAGGGACAAGGACAGACAGACTAAAATTACACTGAAGGCTAGAACAGAAAATTTAGTGAGACTGCCCGCCCCGTCAAAGGGACAAGGTTTAATCTCAAAGAAAGACTTAATACCCGGTGTATATTTAGCGGAGTCGTTCAGTACCGAAATCAATGGGACCTGCGTGACAAACATTATAAATTCATTAGAGATAGATGTTACAATTGAACCCCCTGTAGTTGTTTTGGAAGAAATAGATAACGACGAGTGTGAGAAGACAGTAATGATATTTACTACCCAATTAGCAGAGGACAATGATCGCCTAGCTAAATTACGGAATGAACTGAGAACCGACCACTTAAACAGTGAAGAGAGAGTATCCCTTATCAAAATTTGCGAAGAGTACAATGATGTATTTCACTTAAGTGGAGCTAAACTAACTTTTACCACCGCTGCCGAGCACGCCATAACTACTCCCGCGATAAACCCGAACCGGGCTATAAACACAAGGTCATATAGGATTCCAGAAGTTCATAAGGAAGAAGTACAAAGACAGACTGAACAAATGCTGCAAGATGGCAGTATTGCCCCTATTAATAGCCCATGGAATTCGCCAATTTTCGTCGTATCTAAGAAGGCAGACGCCTCGGGTAAAAAGAAATGGAGACTCGTAGTAGATTTCAGAAAACTTAATGACGTCACGATTGGTGATAGCTTCCATATACCGGTTATTTCAGACGTATTCGATGCCCTAGGATATTCGAGATATTTTTCAACAATCGATTGTGCAAGTGGGTTTTTACAAGTACCCGTAAAGAAGAAAGACCAAGCTAAAACCGCGTTTAGCAACCCTCAAGGTCACTACGAATACAAAAGAATGACTTCTGGTTTGAAAGGAGCCCCCTCCACGTTTCAAAGACTAATGAATTCCGTTCTTACCGGAATCCAAGGTATACAATGCCTACTTTACCTAGATGACATTGTGATCTTTGGAGAGTCCTTACAAATCCATAATAATAAATTGAGACACGTCCTAGACAGGATGAGAGAGCACAATCTGAAACTGCAACCTGATAAGTGCGAATTTTTAAGAAAAGAACTATCATATCTAGGACACATCATCACGAGTGAAGGAGTAAAGCCAGATGAGAGGAAGGTAGAAGTAGTCAAAAACTTTCCGACCCCTACAACCACTCAGAAACTTAAAGGATTTTTGGGCTTAGCAGGATACTATAGAAGATTCATACCAAATTTTAGTAAAATTGCCAAACCCTTGACAGAGCTTTTGAAAAAGAACACGCCATACATTTGGAACGAGAAAACTGAAACAGCTTTCAACGCTTTGAAGGAATCATTATCGATGGAGCCAATACTCCAATACCCAGACTTTAAACGACCATTTGTTTTAACTACTGATGCTAGTAACGAAGCCATCGGAGCCGTGTTGAGTCAAGGCCCTATAGGCAGAGATCTCCCTGTTGCTTATGCCAGTCGAACCCTAATCGTTGCTGAACGTAACTATCCCACGATAGAGAAGGAATTATTAGCAATTGTATGGGCATGCAAATATTTTAGGCCATATTTATACGGTAGAAAATTCACAATAGTGACTGACCACCGCCCTCTTACATGGATATTCAGTGTGAAGGACCCGAGTTCGAGACTCTTAAGATGGAGGTTGAAGCTCGAGGAGTATGATTACCAGGTCGTATACAAGAAGGGTTCTAAGAACACAAATGCTGACGCACTGAGCAGGATTCAAGTAGCTGAAATTTCCCCTGATGACAAGGAACAAAGGATAGAGATAACTCAAGACGAGAAACAAAAAATATTTCAGGAAATGCATGAGAAGCCTACTGGAGGACACCTAGGAATGAATAGGACATACGATAGAATAAAACTTTTTACTTCATGGCCAGGAATGAAACAAGAGTTAGAAGATTATATTAGACGGTGTGAAATTTGCCAAAGGAACAAAATTACGCAAAACAAGACAAAAATGCCATTGCAGATCACAACAACTCCGGATGTGGTTTGGGAAAAATGTTCTTTGGATATTGTTGGTCCCTTAACTCTAACATTAGAAGGAAATAAATATCTGTTGACATTTCAAGACAAACTATCAAAATATACGATAGCCATTCCTATCCAACAGCAAGACGCTTAAACTGTTGCCAAAGCCTTCGTAGAAGAAATTGTGTTGAAATTTGGAATACCGCAGACAATCCTTACGGATCAAGGATCCAACTTTCTTAGCGAACTTTTTGCTAATATTTGCAAACTATTTAAAATTAAGAAAATAAAAACCACAGCATATCATCCCCAGTCTAATGGAGCCCTGGAACGCACACAGAGAGTATTAGTGGAATATCATCGTTGTTTCATTTTAGAAGCTCAAACGAACTGGGATCAGTGGATCTCATATGCCACTTTTGTATTTAACACTACACCACATACTGCTACAGGATTCACCCCCCCACGAAATCATGTTTGGAAGAAAACCTAACGGACCAGGCAATTTCAAAAGGAACCTCCCGAAGTTCTATATACATATGATAATTACGTCAAGGAATTACAATCTCGATTACAATCCAGTTATGACTTAGCCAAAAATAATTTGATAGCAAAGAAGGAACGCAGCAAGGAGTACCATGATAAGAACGTCAATGTCCCGGTATTTACAGTTGGAGACAAAGTCTTGCTACATGATGAGAAGGTCAGAAGAGGCAGATCATTAAAGTTGTCTCCCCCTTGGANCTGTAACGCCGCAAGTGGGGGGGCGTGGAGGCATCCCTCCTCGCCTCCACTTGTTTATGCTGTAAGGCTGCCATCCTGTTACGTCGTGACGACGGGGGTGTGCAGGTACCCATCCTTGCCACCCCCAGCTTACTCTGTAAGGAGTTATCACAATCATCCTAGCTCACCTTTAACTAGGATGCTCCTCTTTCGGGGTTTCCTTCTCGGCAAAAGCTGCCACCATCTATTATCTGTCCTTTCGATCGTGGGCACCACTCCCTGACATATAGTCACAGTCCCTTCTTCACCACGCCTCATATAGTTTACAGGTAGCCACGTGTTACGTTATTCTTCCATTTCAATGGGCGTTGACATCAAGGCTACTAACTCTGCCTGGGTGGCAGGAGCCTATCCCTGTCTATTCCTAACGCCTCTCCTTAGGCCTTCGGCTGCTGTTGCACTCTCAGTTTGAATAGGATCTTCTGGATAGGTCGAGGGAAGGTGATTACGGAGGGTGAATCACAATTCCCTGCGTACATCCTATTCTATCTATCTA